AGCATGTATTGGTTGTCTCCCATCTCGGGTTTGGGTCCCATATCGGGTTTCGGAGGGGGGGTTAAAACCGAATCTTTTAAGTTTCGGTTTTCTTGGTTGTGTTTCCCCAAATGGGGTTTCGGCGTGCAGACTATGGCCAACAGCATGTGGGCAAGGACTGCCGACGCTCGGACAACCGAGCGGTTCCTCTAACCTCCCGAGCGGGTAGCGGGGATTTGGTGTGGCGATTGCGGAAGCGGAGGGCAAAAAAAGACGACCTTGTTTGTGCTGATGGGGTTCAGCTACCTGTGGGGCACGGTGATGCTGGAGGACAAGGCCCCCGCAACCCCCTCGGCCCCCATTCGCGACACAATGCTCGCTCGACGGGTGTGGAAAGGAGTTGTTTGCATGTCAATGTGTTCTTCCTGCATGGCCTCTTTTACGGAAAGATCTTAATACAGCAAGCTTGCCGGACTCTTTCTCTCGTCTGTCTGGTACTTCTTTCTGTCCTTTCGTCTCTCTGTATTTTCTTTCTGTTTCCTGTCAGACCCTCTATTTCCTCTGCGCTTTGATATGAAATCTATAGTGGACCCGATTTCGTTCCCCAACCAGTTCTGGAACATCCTGGCCAAGTTTCGCTGTGCAGAATCGTCTTGTTGCACTGGGGCGCCTGAAGGCAATGGTTGACCAGGGCAGTGCTGCAAGCTTGCACGTAGCTGCACAGCGTGATCTGCAGATGTCAGCTGTTTCTACAACGGTGCTTGTGCAACATCTCCCGCCTCCATGCCACGAGAAGCGATCAATTTCCCCATCATCCTGGAAACTAGACTTGTTTGCACAGGCTTCCTGTTTGCTACAAATAGCGATGCTCTGCAAGTGGCCGTTTATTAAGATCTAAGTGCCAAGAGGACGTTGAGGACGATGTCTACATTTACATGGGACCCAAGTCGAAAGAACGTGGTCTTGCACAAGTATTGGAAGATCGAAGTCCTGAAGCTGCCTGATGCTGGTACTGTTGGCTTTCGCAAGAACAGCAAAAAGTCAAAAAGTGCAGCTCTATGCAGCCCTGAGCCGCCTACAGCCCTTGTCCTGGCCTGGCGAGTCCAAAAGAGGCAAACTGAGCCTTGTGAGGGAGCGACCTCAACAGGCATATAAGGCATATAGAATATGCAAGGGATACGGTGGACGGGCAAGAATAATTCAAGGGCCGATTGGCGCCGACATGACCTGAACATCACTTCTAACTTGACCTTATATTCCCAGAAATCTTCTGCCAGCAGGTCGCGGGTGTGTGTCTGAAGCTGCTTTCAAAGGTATTTGTCTTTGCTCCAAATTGGCCTGATTTTCTCGTCGTCCGGTTGCTTTGGTTTTGAGTGGTCGCGTGGCTGCACGTGTGAAGAGCTCATCCAGTACTGGTAGCATGCCTTCTACAGATCAACTTCGTCCACCCCACCATGGTCGCCCGCAGTCCTGGGGCCGGCTCTGGTCGACCCCCACTTCAAGCGAAACACCGCCTTCTAGCACTGGCTGTAATATTTTTACGGTCTATAATCACAAGTTTTGAAAATCTATTCTGATAGTTGGGGTCACCCGCTATAATCACAAGTTTGAAGGGTCCGTGGTCTAAAGGTTTCAAGCCTTCCTCGGGCTCCATGAATCTGAGATCCCGACATCAGAGAAGCCAGGAAGCTAAGCCCCTCCAGTTCCATCTGGAACTTTATTGGATTTCGTTACGACATGAGGCCCCCAAGAAATTTCGTGAAAGGTAGCCCATGGGCCCGATTCGCTTTAGTAGGTTTGTCAAGTTTTTTGGGGATTTGTTGTTTACATTCCAGGCCTGGCCGTAAGGCCCTGAAAGCTTCAGAGTTTAAGGGCCATGGATTCAGCCCTGGAAGGCTAGACAGCTTCAAGCCTTTTGGCAGGTTTCGGGGTTTAAGCGCCCTAGCTTCAGCTCAGGCCCCCCCCCCCTAAACTTGTTTGGGGGGCTCCCCAGGGGCATGTCTTTATCATCAGAGGGTCCCAGATTTTCCTGGGGGGGGGGGGGGGGGGGGGGGGGGGGGGGGGGTGCTATCCATTAAAGCCAGTGCCACATTACAATATACAGTGAACCGCTATGCGTGCGGTGAGAACATGAAGATCTTGGATTTTGCATGCAGGGCCCCAGAGTGCATGATGAGTATGTGCGTGCTGGCCAACGAAGACCGCGTATACTCATAAGTAAATCCTCTGTCACAAGCACCTGCGATATGACTCAGAATGTGAGATAGAGACTCGGCATGCATGGTGCATTTAAAGGTTGCAACGAGTTCGCCAACTCAAGACCCAAGAACAACAAATTCAATATGCTACACTCCATTCATTCTCCTCCACCATCCTCCATCTCATCAACAACTTCGGCCTCTACCCCCTCTCTACTCGAGCTCTTACAAGTGTAAGGGCATGCACTCCCTCTATCCTCGAGCTCTGTCGAGTGCAATGGCATGCATGAATATCTCAACAGGAACTAACCAAGTCAGCAAGTGTAAGGAAGGAAGAAAGCAAGTGCATGTGTTTCCGTGTGTGCGTGCATATGGTGTGGTTTTGCTCTGCAATGTCTTCTCGCTCATCTCCTTTCTGCCCACTGATCTCTCAATCGTCCGTTGAACTGGTAAACGCACGGGAGGACGAGCATATCATTGCAGACCACCCTGACAGGTGGTGCAGGTGAACTGGTGCTCTGCAGCGATCTGCAGGGTCCTCCGTGTCTTCTGATTCACCGACTGAGATAATTGTGTGTAGCCACCCGCATGTATGGAGCAACAAACACAAACAAACACAAAAACAAACACACACACACACACACACATTCGAAACATTTTTCTGTGCCGAGGAACCCTTAGACCGGAGCCGCCATCGGCTGTTGACAGCAGGTCCCGCGCCGCTTGCAGCGCCCGCTGCGACGATTGGGCCCCAACCTTGCGGATTGGATGGATGTAGGCTATTGTGGGCTTTGACTTTTGTTTGCGCTGCCCTGTAAAGGTATCTCTTTGCCCCAAAGCAAAGCGCGAAGAGCATTGGGGAGAAAAAGGCTGAGTGGCTAAAGCTTTGATACATCAACATGGGATAACATGGGTGGCTATCCCTCTATCTCCCTCGGCTGTGGCAATTTACCTTTGAGCCGCGGTGCAGCATCGAAGACGGCTTTCCCATCGAGGGCCTCTCAGCTGCTTAGCAGCCACATGTACATCCACACCGGTTTTTCTTGCTCATGTAAAGGTCCAGAGTTTGGATCCCGTACAAGTCCCTGTTACTACCAGCCTGATTATTACGGTAACTTAAAGGGGTCTTATGTTCACGCGTTCATGTAAGTGAAGTGTTCATGTCATTCACTCGTTCGTTCTGGGCACACAACAAATGACCAAGCGAATGCTCTTTGATTACTACCGCTGGCCAAACAAAATACAAAGTCAAATGCCAGCGTGAGCAAGAAAAAAGTCGCAAGCTCACTGCACCATTCTCTTTGTTCAGCTTGTTGATTCCCTGTTCTTTGCTGACTGGCTTGACATTCCAGGTCCGGTCCTCGCCTTGTCCGTGTGGTCCAAGCCCATGTCCAAAAGCTCGCCAGCAGCCTAACACAAGCCTAAAACAACATGAGCCCTTGTGCTGACCAATCAAGTGCTTCATTGCATTCGGAATTTAATGATGCTCCGGGTCCGGAGATCTCAAAAGCCGACGGCTCACCAATTTGACGCCTTCGCTCTCAGCAGTACCGTAGCTCCAACCTCTCCTTCCTCTTGCGGAAGAACCTGTTTCCCATATTGTGCTGTCCTGCCTCAATTGTACGCTCCTCCACCTCACTTGGAGGGCCTGGACCAGCCGTCAGGGAATCTTACTACAAAACGATTGCAACCCTCCGGCATCCTCCGGCCAATCGGCATTCAGATCATGTTTTGTCAGGGCTTAAGCCACCACAACTCTGGATAAGCCCCTCTTCTCAAAGCTTCTCGAGAAGGCTGCAAGAGGGATTGGCTTAGCACGAGGCGAGGTCCAATCGCCTTCGAACACCTCCATGCATGTGTGCAAGGTCCGGGATCTCTTCGCCTGGGCCTTTTCACCTATTTGACAAGCTGCAACCCGCGCCGAATTTCCCACACCTTTTGATCTGGCCTGTCCGGCAGCCACAACATCCCGACATCGATGCCCTATCAGACCCTTCAGTGTCCGTGGGTCCGGCCTGGTGTGCCTCCTTTGCCTGGGACTGCCCTGAAATACTAAGTCGAAACACTCACCCCTTCGCCTACTGGTACAGCCTTACGGCCCCCGGAGTGCGCACAATGAGGCCTCCCCAACCAACACCAGCGAACTGCACGAGCAGGCACAGGACAGCCAAGAAGAACTTGACAAAGGAAGGGTGTCAAACCTTTCCCAGTGACAACTCACGAATTCTAAGTCCACATAAGAGGGTGCAGTGCCCTCCGCTCTGGAGACGGCGGATCACGGTGGTTGAGGTGGTCAATTTTGCACGGCACGTTCTGGGCATGGACACCGCGTCTACTGCTTTTACTTCACCATGGATGCCCGGTGTGTTAAGGTAGGCCAGGCAGGCTAAACCACGCCGCAGCAGTGGCTCTCACAGGCGACGGTTGTGTGGGAGCAGCCGCCTTCAAGCATGGCAGATGCTGGCCAGGGTGGATGTGTGCCGGCATGGGTTCATGATGCTCCGAACGTTTGGCCTTTTTGCTTTGGCTGACTGTGCGTCCGGAGGTGCCGAAGTCCGGTCAAAGGTAGGATTTGTCTCACCCTGAAAGATCGCCCGCTTGCTCATCTCCTTAAATTTGCGAAAGAGCGGCGATACGATTTACTAGCCCGGCCACATTCTGTCGCCCGCCAGTGTGCTCCCATCTCTTTTCTGAGCTCCGAGCGTGCTCCGTGGTAATGCAAGCGCGGACGTATTCATTTTTTGGTTTTACAAAGGTGCCCCCCCAGACGGTGGGCGGACTTGCGAAGCACCTGAAAATTATGACGCTTCAAACCAGCCATGCCTTCCCGGCAGGGGTCCAGCGCAACAGGAAACACCGTCTCCCCACCGCGCAGACCAGGTCCAAGGCTGGACAAGTAGATGATGGCCTGGCATAGCACCAAGTAGCGAGCAAGCAGCTGCCAGCCACATGCAGTAAGGGCAATCCAACGCCGCCATGTGACCGTGCAAAAGCGCCAGTGAGCTGCGTTGGTGTCAACCTCGCCATACGGCTTGGGATCGTACACGCTCATAAACATCGATATGAATGTCCGATTACGAGGTGGACACTGTATGTCCAATGCGATACAAACACGTAAATATAAGCATCCCCTCGGTTAGAACTGTTCTGGTCTGTCCTTGAACTATATTCAACGTGCAGACCAGAACGTCCAAAAGTGTACCTCAGATTGCGGCATATGCACAGCCTTACTCACTAAGGAGAGCAATCTAGATATTCTGTGAGAATGTATATATATATATATAGTGCTGATACGTCGTCTGTAAGGTTGGAACACAAGACCCTGAGAACTTGGATGTAGAACTCAAGCCCTTTGTAACAGCTTGGTGATGATGGCAATGATGACTAAAAGACCTTATTAAAAGACTCATGATGGTACGTTTTCTAAGTCAAGATGGTACGGGTAAATTGCACGCTCTTTGACAGGTAATGCCGTACCGGTTACTGTTGGCTGCTTGCAGCCTAGCCGTTGCCGGCCACCTTTGCTTGGCCCAGACTGAAGCAATGGCTACAGACGGAGACGTATGGAGATGGGAGACGGGACCTAAAAACTACAACAAAACTTAAACTTTCAGAGCGGCTTGAACCCAACAAAACAAAACATTACGAGCTGGAATCCTGCAAAGCTTGGTTTGTCTTTGTTCTTCGTCTCATCTTGTCTCTAGAAATGCTTTCAGAAGAGCTGGAAAACTTTAGTTGGGTACTTTTGGATTGTTTCATATTGTCTCCAGCGATCATCTCAGGAGGACCCGCGCCAGGAGTGCACCCTGAAGAAGATACGAACCTCTTCAAAATTTCAGCAGGGTCTCCAGGACCGTTGTAGCAAGTTCAAGCTTCTCTTGCTTGCTAATTGTGATTTTGCGATTGTGATCTCGTCTAAAACATGGTGACGGCGCCTGTAAGAGGCCGTGCGACTGAACACATTCTGTGTTTACATTTTTCGCGTCGAGGGCTGAAAACCCAAGTAAAACACACATTTTCGTGATCACCGCAGCATTTGCAGGGCTCGAAAACACTGAAGGGTTAGGTCATTCTTTCGGAAAAATGCATTTTCGCTCGAAGCCTGATCGTTTTTTGTTTTTTTTTTCCAGGGGGTCCTTTTTTTTGAAGTTTTGGATGCGTTTTTTGCTCGAATTTGCGCTCTCGCCTAGGCGCGGGCACGTTTTGCTCATTCCCCATGTTGAACTTTCAAATGGCGATTTTCGGTTCGGAAAGTTTTTTCTGCGTTATGGCACCGGCAGTTCAGGTTCGAAATAGTGCTCTCGCCACAGCGCAGGCATGATTTTTCTGGAATTGTGCTTTGGTTGTAACCCAACAGACTTGTGCACTGGATCCTGAAAGTGGCCTCAAGTTGATTCTTCTTCAGGGTTCAAGGTTCAAAGTTTAGGGTTCAGGTTTCAGGATTTGGGTTTGCACTGCTTGGACTATTCTTTTGGTTTAAGGATCGTTTGTTTGTTGTGTTTTTTCTAGGGGGTCTTGTTTTGAAGTTTCGGACACATTTTTTGCTTGAAATTGCGCTGTCGCCTAGGCGCGGGCGCGTTTTGCTTATAAACCCCGAATTAAACAGCAAGGGTTTAGGCCTTTGGGGATTAGGGGTTCAGGCTTTGGAGTTGCAGGTGTGCAGTCCCAAGTCACGTGATTACCCCACCCCCCCCCCCCCACCCCCCCACCCCGAGCCCCAGAAATTGTGGTTACTCGCACGGCCTCTTAGAGGCGCCGTCTCCTAAAACATGTCACAAGGCATCGGAGAGCCACATTCAGATGAAGAAGCTTTCCTTACAGATGCCCCAGAATACATGCTAGCATGGGGAAGGCGGCTTGAGCGAATATGGTCTGAGCTTGGAACAGGCTTATCTAAAGGTATTGCTATTCGACTTGCATGAGGGTTAAACGATGCACTCAAACATCAGGGCTACTACGTAGGTCCTATTCGCAGTATAAGCGCAACAATTCTAGACCAGGATTGAGCATGCCTATTGAGGGGTCCGCATTTGTTGGGCTTTGCTTCTATATCTTCTATTGAATTCTATTGGGATTGTTGTGTACCCTCGGTGTGGGGCCGTTAAATACTTTAGATTCATTGCCACAGAGCCCCACCGAGTATTGCAGTGACAGAAGCCTGCGGCGAAGTATCATCAACACATATCCGAAAAAGGCAGGAGGCCTCTTGATTTCTATGCGCCACTTGTGTGGGAAACATGGCCTGAGCATACTTTCCCGCCTTATCCGATTCGTGCATCCGTCCGGGAGGCATTTACGTGGGCACGCGCACGCGCGAGCGCGCACGCGCACAAAACACATCACAAAAAACACACACTGACACTGACACTGACACTGAGACACACACACACACGGACACAGACACAAACACACACAGAAGCGCACACACACACACACAACCACTGAAACAAACAAACAAACTAACTAACACACACACACACACAGGCCCACGCCCAGGCCCACACCCACACCCTGACCCCACACACACACACACACACACACACACACACACACACACACACACACAGACACAGACAGACAGACACAGACAGAGAGACAGACAGGCAGGCAGGCAGGCAGGCAGACAGACAGACACACAGACAGACACCCACCCACACACACACACACACACACTTCGGGATCTCCCTACACATGTAGGGGAAGGCAGAAATATCGTCCATGGTGGAGCTGCCAGCTGCTATGCTAAGCCCAAGCACACTCCCAGTTTATGAGCTGCCAGCTGCTCTGCCAAGCCCAAGCACGCTCGAATTTGCAGGTACGTTTTCAGCACCACACTGTTAGGCTCTTCGTTGGCCGCCCCCTAACAGTGGGTGGAGCGGCCCCCTGCGTACATCTTAAATGAATTCAAAACGACTGATGTGATTTGCTCCGACCCTTGGTCCAACAGGGTTTTGTGCACACACACACCCGGCCCGTTCCATGGACCGGTGTGGCAAATCTCACGGACATCCTCCCTGCAGCTGCGGAGCCGAGCCTTTTTTGAACAGCCATCTGGAGCATCCATGCCGATTGAGTGAGAGCACCTCTAACAAGACAGTCGAGAATGAAGCCTGCTGCAAACTGTTTAGAGAACGTTGCGGAATCGTTTGGCTTTTGCTGGAAGCGCTTGGCACAACTCATTGCGCAGAAAACCTAGACTCAAATATTTCTGGGAAAGGGCACGAATTTGACCGGGCACATCTGATCAAAACACGCGCCCGAAAACTAGCCAGATTTGCATTTGCAGATCCAGCGCTTTGCGGGACCCGATACTTCCAAGCTTCGTTGGGAACATGGAAATCTACACGACGGTCGTACACAGACACACGGCAACCCAACAGTTCTTCAATCTCACAAGCCTCCAACACAACAGGTGGACCATAAAAGGTGGGGTCGACCAGCGCTGAGAAAGCTGGTCTCCGCAAGAAGCACCGCGGAAAAAGCAAATACCTGTTGTCGACGTATCGGAGGAACCAACATGCAAGCTGGTCAGATGCCCAACACTGCCTCAATCCCCGCACCCAACAATCCTCTTCCAAGCAGACAGCCAAGTTACACAAACTTGGTGACAACTGGTTGCCAATTGGACTGCCTCGTTTTTGCGAGAACGTCCGGCCCAAAACAGTAAACGACGCAAAGGAAAAGGACAACTGAACAATTTTGAGGACGTCACCCTGGAAAACTTTTCGGCACGTGGATGGTCGGTTTTTCATCGGCTTTCCACGTAGGACTCGGCCATAAGAAGATGGCGATGTTTCATCAACCGTGACCAAAAGTCACTGCGACACTTACCTCCAGCTTGCTTGTTCTCAAAGAACCGGTTCAAGGCAATCTCACAAGCACGATTTAAGCGCGAGATCGGAATGGAATTAAAAAAGCCAGTCAGGTCATCGTTGACCGTGACATATTCTTGCGCATCAGAGTGGGACGTCCGGTCCAAGAAAGCGTGTTAGCGAAGCCCACACCTCATGCAACTTCAGCCTACCAAAGTTTTCGGGAAAGGCAACTTGGCAAACTTCATTCAACACGCAGGCGATGACCTTGCACAACTTGCTCAAACACGACCCGCGGAAATTGATGATCGACCGAGCTTTTTTGAAAGACTTTTTTTGCTTCAGAAAGCAGTAAGCCTTTGGCAACAGAAAGGTCTCCTTTATGCCCCACGCATACCGTTTCTTCAACGAATCGGGTATGGCCTGGAAGGCTGAGGAGGCAATAGCATGAGGGTGTCCGGCGAGCTCACCATACACATCTGCGTCTTCAAACGTGTTCAAGATACCTGATTTGTACAGCTCTGGACAGAATAACATGATCTGGTTGTACGCGTGGTCGCGTGAATGCACTACAAGGTTGCGCATCTCCTGCGCAGCCCGTAGGACTTCAGCGATAGAGAACCTGCCGGACACTGCCTTGACATGCTCGGGAAACTCACCTTCCACAAACCAAAGCCACTCATCAACAACTTGCTCAATGGGAAGATGGTGATGCCCTGCCCACGCGCGAACTTCCTGCACAGACATTTCCCTATACCGCTTGACACGGGGGAAAAAACAACAACCCGCCGACGACGCAAGAAGTCGCTTCAAGTGTCTTGACACTGACAACAGCGACGCCGGCGACGCGACATGCCCCTCAACGCACTGCAACTGTGGATGCTTTTGCAACACAAGTTGACATTGACAAAAATCCGTGCTGGGGAACTGCGCGAACTTTTTTAACCACAGTCTGAAATTGAACAGCTTTTCTCCAACAGAACAATGCCGTTTTTCCACCACCTGCTTCGTTGGAAGATGAAATGGCAAGGCTTGATCTGCATACTTCTTGCGTACTCCCACCAACCACTTTTCAACATTTTTCTTGAAGAACTTGTTGGCGAGCAACGGCAATGTCAATGGTTTGGCAGCCCTCGGCACAGCCAGTCCACGGCGTTCAAGAACCGACTTTAGACGCTTTTTTGCAACACCTCGGTACGGTTCCTCC